TTGCCTAATAAGCTGGAACTAAACCCAGTTAAATATTTAGGTATTGTTTATTCTAAGCTCACAGATTTAGCTAAATTAAACCACATCCCACTTTTAAAGAAAGTCAAATACGATCTAGCTAGATGGAAGTCACTACCCATATCACTCATGGGAAGGGTCGTTTCAATAAAAATAATGGTTTTGCCAAGAATCAGTCATTTATCCTCAATGATCCAGAGTAAACCTTCACCCTTTGGAAAGATAAAGCCCCATGTATTAGCTTAAAAACACTACAGAAGACCAAGGATAGAGGAGGACAAGGTCTGCCTAACTTTCACCACTTCATCTTAGCCAACAGGCTACAATACATCTCAGGACAGCATCTTTGACAGCATGGTGGGAGTTTAAAAAAAAAGACTGAGTCTTTAAATGACTAGAAATCCCAGTCTCCAATTAATACAATACAAAATCACGAACAGAGTGCACTACACAGGTCGATGGATGTTCATGATGGGTTTTATGTCATCTAACACCTGCTCACGCTGTCAAGGGAAAACACCTGACAATTACATCCGTGCTCTTTGGTTCTGTCCACCTGTTCATGTTTTGGTGCTGGATATGTGAAACCCATCAAAGTGCTCCAGCCTCCCCTTCAGTTTGCTTTTCTGGCGACTTAGATGATGTCATTATGGAGATGAACACAGTCCGCCTTATGCATTTCTAAGAAGACCTCATGAACTGGAAAAATAAAAATAATCTTAGCATTAACCAATATAGAGGGGGTAAGGGCTTGGGGCGTCTGGGGGTTTGCTAGGTGTAGGTCCCCTCCATGCCTTCCTCGGGTCCTGGAGGGTGGGGCTGTGGCTTCCCACACCCACTGTTAGACACTTACATGGAGAAACCTCATGAACGCAAGTGCTAACGTATACCGGTACCCAGACACACACTATCTTGGGCTGCTGCTGCCTCTAAAAATATCTTGTATTATTAGTACTGTGTGCTCCTCAGTAACAATGTCATTGTTATTTGTGTTGGTTGTTGCCGTGGTTTCTCTGCTGTTTGAAGCAGATTCTCAGTGTTTTCTCTCTCTCATCTTCTTCTTCTCCTCCTCTATTTTTCTCTCCCTGTCTTTCTATTAACTTTCCTTCCAGCTTCTCTTTCTTTCATATCCCCTGGTCTTGTCCATTGTGGTTGTAACAATCCAAAGTAAAAAATCCTAATAAAGTCCCAATAAAATAGAGCTATCAAGTGAAAGTAAATCTGTTTGGCATTTTTTGGCCTTCTGATTGCTACACTGCTGGACAGGACAGGGAAAAAAGAAGAAGAAAGAAACACAGAGAGGAACCCCCCCCCCACACACACACACACACACTAATAACATAAAATGAGGAATTTTACAA